TGGGTGTAAAACCCACTACTAAAGATAGCGGGAATATTGCCTTTCCGTTTGCTGGCCGAAATTCAACAACTGTCAGCGAACGTCGGTGAAAGTGAATCTGCGATGATGCGCTCGCGATGTCGGACTCGCATAGAGAAACATAGTATGTATTACATAGAGAGCCATGCAATTTCTTAAGTTCACTCAGCTCCTGGCAATCGCCCTCTGCACCCTCCACGCCGCCGTGGGGACTCAAATCCCTTCCGCCATGAACACCACCGAGAGATCTCTCCAGATCGATCCCACCTCAACCTCGCCGACGGTTCAACCCTCGCATGGGACGCCGGGGACAAACACTGCCTTGCCACTATCGTCAAGATCGATCTATGGTCCTCCCTCCTTCACTGATATCCCCGCATCGACGGCCACAAAGAGGGGGGAACTTCTGCGGCCTCGCGTTCACCTTCCACGGCATGGACGGTCTCTTCGATTTCGAGGGCTGCGGCGGGTGAATTGCACCGGGGCGTTCGACGCCAACTGCGCGAGAATATTGGATGTGTGTTTCAGCTCGAGACAACCTATTCCTACCGCTCTTCGATTTGTGTAAGCTCTCAGTAATGCAAATACAAATGCGAACCAAAGCATACTCAATATCCTCGTGTTTTCAGTTGCACCTTCACTAACTCCCCACCGAACTCTCGCTGCCCCTCATGGGCTTTGATAATGTCTAGAGGCCCCCGATGAAGCAGAGTGCGGAAAGACAATGCTTAACTGCGACGCCCAGTTACAGGCGGGACCACGCGGGCATCGTGAGATGTCGCCGAGTGGACTGGGCACCTGTATTTCAGCTCAGGGCACCAATCCTTGGCGATTCGAACACAGAAGATTGTGTGGATGTGCGGTCGAGCAACTGCGCCGGAATCATGTGCAGGTGGGAACTAGGAAGAATGAAACGGGAAGTTGGGAGGCAAGACAGCGGAGGAGCTCACTCCCGTGTTGAATGTAGCCTGGGGTGGGGTGCGCGGCCAGAGTTGGGGAAGTCGTTCCGCAATCGCAGTGAATGTCGACTTGGTCTAAGCACATTATCCATGGCCGCACCAGATGTAGACTTGTCTTAGGATGCAGAATTCTTTGTACCAGGAAATGTGTTGCCGTACATTGGTGCCCATCGAGAACATTCAAGTAGAACAAGCAAACAGATAAAAAAGACATACGACGACCCCGCCTATACTCCTTTCCTCATCCGAATCTCCGTGTCCCTCCTTCAGATAGGATCAGCTGTCGTCGGCAGACTCCTCTGATGCGTCTGTGTCGTCGGATTGAGCTCGTTTCACGACGACACTCCCGACAGACGGCAACGATAGACGGTAATATCCCGCGGAAAGTTCTGCGTCCGCGATGGTAATGCAGAGCGATGGCAAGTGGCAGCGGGATCGCGCGAGTAGGTTCTGAATAGCGCTCGGCGTGAAGCAGAACCCCGACAGACGGAACTCGCTGAGAGCCGGGAGAGTCAGCTTCTCTAAAAGCTGCATACATGCTTTGGGATCCGAGCCGTCACCGAGGTCCAGCCTGCGCAGTTGAACCAGTGGCGGGATGGCCGCTATGTTCGCCATGATTTCATCGTCGGAAGCGGAGATTATTGCCACGTCCAACGTTTCCAAATTGACCATGCAAACCAAGACTTCTGTGAGGTCGTGGACGAAGGGGACGGAAACATTGGCAAGCATGGTGATTTGTGCCCACGGGAGGTTGAGATGGAACCGGCCGCCCATCACGAGAGCCCGCAACTTCGGGGCCTGGTGGAAGACCTTCACGGGCCAGGAAGGATCGGGCGGCGAGTTTGGGGAAAGGTCGCTGAAATTGATCAACAAGCACAGAAGTGACGGGAATTCGCCGTCGATTCGGAAGATGTCGGCATGGGGGAGCACGAGTGATAAAGTCAGGCAACGCCTCGATGGGGGAGAATCGCCTCGACAAACTCGTGAAGGGAGTCACGGCCAAGGAGGATGGTTGAAACGGAGGGTTGCTGATGAAGGCCGATGCATAACATGCAATCACGGGAGCGAAGTAGCCAGGTCTCCAGGAGACGAAGCTGACTTTCGCGGCTTGTGACTGCCTCGAGGTTTAATGTTATGCGGGTCCAAAGCGAGGGGGTATTCAAGGCGATGTCTCGCCACCTCTGGCAAATATGGCCAAGGAACAGCGGGGATGCGGGGTCGACAGGCGAGGTGACTGCGCCGCTGCTATAGAGGAAGACCTCGGACACAATCTCGTTGGGCAAGGTCAGAACGGGGTAGATGAAGGCGTCAAGATGGGTTTTTAGCGATTGTCTCTCGCTTTTTAGATCACGAAGAGAGGTTTTGAGAGTCATTATCTGCGCATCTAGGTCTTCTATGCGAGCGCGAGTGGCGGATGGCGTGAGGACGTCTGGAGAGAGAAAAGCTGGGGTCGGCGGCATACTGGAAATACGTACCTCATTAATTTGCTACAGACACGCTAGAGGGACCTCTGACTTACATTGGGGCTTCCGTGGCGAAAAAAGATCGTGGTGTTAAGCAAGGACGCCGAATCACGTGCTCAGGCTCGGCGCGTGGATCTGCCAAGCACCAGCAAATAAGAGCCCAAATCAATTGGACAGACATGCCGCTACCCCCTGGTCGAGTGAAAAAATTCGTCATGCAGCCTCCATCTTGTTCAAACTCGCGCATCTGATGCGAAAAATTGAGAAGCTTTTGTGGAATCGTGCGCGCCACCATCGAAGTTGTTCCGAAATATTGTTCGGCCCGAGACACTGATGATAGTTGAGGGGAAATACCTGTACTCTAAATCGAGACCAAATGTACAGGGCATTATATTTTATTGTACGGACCTGAATAAATAAGGAAATCTGCCGCGGTGGGGGTTCTATTAGGTATTTGAAATCATCCATGTCAACGAGCTGCATCTTCCACTGTGGGTGACTTTGCGGGGAACATGGTTTGTAAAATCTTGCTGCTCGACTTCTTTGCTCCAACCTAGCGCACGGGCTGGCCTCGGATTGCCTAAATACACCCAGTCGTCGTATGGTGCGGAATGAAATATAACCACCGACTAAAGAGCCTCAGGACGGTGGGATCTAATATTACGCGTTGTACGAACATTTTTTGGCACAGGGAGCACGGTACATTGCGAAATTTCAGGCTATTTGTCTTGCATTGAAGACTCAACATCACTGAAAGATATATCTACGCAGGTGGGGCAATCTTGAATGTCTTCAAGATACTCGAGCTGTGCCAATTTTCGTCGGGGTTCCTGCGAGGTGGAACTGATATTGCGGACCGTTGCATCTCCGCCGGATTTGCACAGACCCATTTCGGATGTCACTGAATTGTCAACTCTTTGATCGCGGCCCAATAATTATTTGGCGAGCGTTTCGCCGGAAATGTATTTGGCCCTGCTCAAATTCAGATATTTGCCTTTCAACCTCGCAAAGCCTCGTCGTCAATCGCCCAGCTCCAAACCGGGTTTTCCTTCCTCAACACCCATGCCTATAAGATGGGACTGGTCGATTCGCTGGCATGTGAGGACGTGCGGCGCTCCGTTCAAGACCTGTGCGCACTACCTGCTGGAATACCCTATTTGGGAGCCATTTCGTCAACCGCTCCACAAGGCGTACAGGGACCTCGGATTCTTCGGACCACTCCATCTCTCCCCCCTTCTCACCCATCCCAAATTGCTTTTGAGCATAGGTAAAATTCATCGAAGACACGGAACGGTTCGCATGGCCTAGCCCCCTGCCCGGACCCCCATCTTCGGACCTTTAGTTGTGAAGTTTTGGTTTCCCGTTCTCATTTCTCATTTCCTCTCTCTCTCTACCTACATTATACCGCCAAATACTCTCCACAAACCGTCCAACCACCGTCTTGGAATCTTCCCAAACCCCACCTGCGCTCTCCCATCACTTGAATTGAATCACTACGCAAATATTTCCCCACTTTATGTTTACTCCCCTCTTTTCTCTCTCTTAATTAGCACCATACAACCCCACCACATTTACCGTACAACACCACTTACCGTATACATACAGTAACCCAACTGAACTTCAATCAATCAATCAATCAGTGGATATATTTCAAGTGTTTCGCGGAGCAGGAGGAAGGAAGATGTACACCAGGGTGCTCACGCTCCCAGGTCATATCAAGAGACATTACGGTCGCCACTGTCTTAACCCATACCCCTCTGTGAACCTCAAAAGCTATGGGGTACTGCAGAGTTACGGGGAATCCCTGCCGAAAGTTGGGAAATTTTGTTCAAAACAGTATGGCTTACTGCAGAGTATGGATTAAGACAAAGTCGACTGTATTTGGGGTGTCGAACATGTCAGGATCCCTTCAGAGATTTGGGAGAGAGAAAAAGAACAAAACAGAAGACCCTACCGTGGATCGAACACGGGACCGCCCGATAACAGCAATTTGCAATCGGATGCTCAACCACTGAGCTATAGTGTCTAGTAGATGTAGTCAACTATAGGCTATTGGCTCACTTGGACATCTCCCAGGTTAAGGAACAACGTCGGCATCACCCAACGTTGAACAAAGCTGAAATGGAGAGCGCTAAAGGCTTTTTCTTTACTTCCAGTCATTGCATTTTTGGACCATCCAATTGCCATCGTACCACTCAGATCGTTGGATCGAGTTCGAGCATCTTGCCCGGGATCAACAAATACTCAAACTATGTGCGCACCGCTGGTCTGGCGTCCCCTGCATCTCCTGTGGTGCAATATTTCATCCCTTTAATCTCCTCTCCGGAATTATTCCTGGCTAAGACTGGCAGACACCAACCAACCCCTCGAAAAAGGCGGAAACGAAGCGGAAACCATGAATCCAGCACCATCACGTGCTCCCACACGCGTCGCTCCATCAACCAAACATGCGCAAGCACCCCTGATTCGAGTGACCTCGAATCAGATCCCCCGTCAAACGTCGCCCGTCCGTCATCCCAGTCATACCGACACACGACAGGGCAGAAAAAGAGGAAGAGGCCTGCTCCGGCGGGAATCGAACTCGCATTCTCCAGCTTCCTGATTTCGCAAATGCAGAGAATGCTGGTGTCGTTACCATTGGACCACGGGGCTGACATGGAGGATGGGCGTTATTGTGTTATGTATATAGAGGTAAACCTCCCTGCCTTCCTAAGTCGAAAGACTCGGTTTTTTTCCTTGCAGGTGTCCTCCGGCCAGCAGCTAGAATGTACATTACTTTCGAGCCTGTTAGATACACCATAGGAATGAATAGCAAAATCGCCCTCCATTCTAACTTCAGCCACTAGCTGGCTTCGAGTAGGACCCCGTGCGCCCTGTTACACCTTTTATTCCACCAAACTGATGCTACCTACTTCGTTCGATGGTGTCATCGTCGAATCGAGCGCTAATTGCGTAAGAGTTTAAAAGGTCGCGGCAGTGACCTGATGAGTAGAAACGGAGTATCATAGGATACCCCCGCGTGCATATTCTCTTCATTCGAGGTGCGCCGAGCCGCGGCACTCCGAGTCAAATTCCGCTCGAGCGCAAGTCCTCATGTGAGGTATTTATTTCATGAAAGCTTCGCGACACACCTGCTGATCACAACTAATCGCTCCCTCGGCAAGTTTCGATCGAGTTTCATTTCACTAATCGCAGCGGATGGGCCGAATCAGTGGACAGATAAACGAGAAGCTAGCATCCTCAACTCAATGTGAACCGCAGCACCCAAACTTCGACGGACGTCCTTGTACGATTTATTTATTCCTACGTCAAACTTGCCGCCGTTGAATTGAGCGCGAGGATCCGAGGCTAACTACTACTACACTTCACTGGCACTCAGTAATTGTGTGCTGGATTCAGCCCGACGATCCTCCGGATCATACCCAGAATCCAGAGCCCAACGCCTGGACCCAAATCCTTATCGTTCACTCCACACGCGCATCGTCCGTGGGGTCCACAGCACTCCACGCAGACAGAATCTCCACGCAGATAGAATCCCCACGTAGACGAACCTCTCCACTACACGGGCAGCAAGAAGCTCCACGTCGACACTCCACACGACTCGGATGCATGTGGTCGCGTGCCGGAGGAGTGAGCTCCCACACCGGGTCCCGAGATAAGGCGTTCAAATGGCGTAAGTATTGTTGTGGGTGCTTCGTGATACCGAATAGTAAACGCCCCCAGCAGTGCCAGAGATTCAAGTCGGCGCGTCACTTGAGGACGACTTGAGTTATCCAACTTGCATGCATAACTAAATGCAGACCAGCCCAAGTGCAAGAAAAACTAGATCATATTTTTAGATGCGAAGCTAAGCTACCTACCCTATACAACAATCTCCCTACCCACGTTAGCGTTAGTGCGACATAACTACACGTCAAGACATAGCCCGCAACGTCTACCACGTCGCCGGCCCAAAGATCTCCCCGTCCGCGAGCGAAATCATCGGCGTCTTGTTCCCGTCGGCGGTATTGAGCCACACGGTGTTCCCCCACCAATCCTGGATCGTGTGCAGCCCGATGTTCCCGTTCTTCGGGTACTGCAGGATGAAGAAGATGAGCACGGCGGAGACCGCCACGCCCGAGTCGAGTGCGGCGGAGAGCACGTCTGGAGCACAACGCGTTAGCATGTACTTCGATTTGATGTTAATTTGAAGAGGGGGAACGCACAGTTGTACTTGGTCCACCAGGCGAAATGACGCCGGCGGATGACGTACTGGAAGATGAACCCGACGATCGCCCAGGGGACGTAGTTGTTCGAGTTGGCGGGGGGGATGAGGCCGGTGCCCCGAGAAGATGACCGGGAAGCTTGAAAACACCGAACGTCAACGCTTGCATAAAATAGGGAAGGGAGGGAGGGAACGCACTTGAGGTACCTCAGCCAGCTGTTGGGCCACTTGAGTGTGCAGAGCCACGCGAGGAGCGGGCAGAGGAAGCCGATGAGGAAGAAGAACGTCAGCGCGTAGTAGATCTGCCCGTGCGAGACTGCAGTTCGCCGGTCAGTTCAATTGTTTATTGAAACAACACATGGAAGGGACGCACACTGGCGCGCGGGGCCGATGACGCCCCAGATGATGGACGCGGTGCCGAAGACGCCGGTGGACGGGCACCAGAAGCCGTCCTTCTGGTCGCGGTCGCACATGCCCTCGATGTTGGTGAACATCCACGCCTGCACGCCGAGCTGCGTCGTCCCCGCGATCACCGTCGCCACGACCTGCGTCGTGAACATGATCCGCGGCGGGATTTTCTGCGCAAGACAATTTCAACATCGAATGATCGCACGAGAAGAGACGAACGAGGTACGCACCATGTAATGCCCGAGCTTAAAGTCCGACGTGAACGTAAGAGCCTGCGCCATGGTGATGTACCCCCACGTCTTGAACATCATCATCGCGACGGGGCGCCCCGGCAGTGCGTACCCGATGATCAGCTCCGTGATCACGTTCAGCCCGACCTGCTGATTGGTGATGGCCTGGATCATCCCGATCGGGATCACGTAGAAGAACGCTGTCGGCGCGTTAGCACGAGCGTCGGGGTGAAAGTAACGAAAGAGGCAACGCACAGATGACGAGCGCGAGGATGAAGTACTGCACCGGGAACTTGGTGTCCCACACCTCGATCGAGATCACACCGAACACGAACATGCTCACTGCCTCACGCGTTAGCGCTGTCTTCAAAAAAGAAAACGCAAGGAACGCACCGAAGATGATCGCATACCACCACTCGGGCACCTGCGGGTAGACCGCCATGAGGCGCGCGTGGATGTCGGGCTGCTCGTGCATGGCGCGGCGGCTCTGCGTCCAGATCTGCTTGCGGAAGAAGAGGAACGCGTGGGTGATGGTCGCGGTTATCGACGCGAAGGAGAGCCCGTACGAGATGGAGAAGGTCGTCGAGAGGAAGATGGGCGAGTAGTGCTCGTATTTGTCGAGGTCGAAGACCTGGCGCAGGGCCTCCGTCAGATATACTGTAATTACATTGCGACGGCAGAGGAACGCACCTTCTCCGGCGTCAGAATCCGCGAAACGTTATACGTGTTCCCCGTGTTGTCGAAGGAACCGCCCGACGAGATGGGCATGTACTTGCTGTAGAACGTGTTCGTGAACTGCGTAAAAAGAAATAGCATCAGCATCGGCGTCGGCGGCGCGGTCACAGCTCAATTCAATAGATGACGCGTAGACGGATCAGGGAGAGCGGACAGCCACGGCGCCAAGATTGGCGCGCGCGCTCACGCCCACGCCGCCAAGATTGGCGCGCGCCAAGCGAAGCGGGATGCCAACATCGAACAATGAATGGAGCACGCTTTATATAGCGCGTCCGCAGCAGCGAGCCCCGAAAGGCAACGTGGAACACATATGCGTCTGCGCCTGCGTTGGGTAGTTCGATTCGAACGGCGGCGGGCGTGTGTGCGTCCCGAGCGTGTCCCGGAATAGTAGACGATCAAGAGGGAAGAAGAAACGCACATAGAGCGCCGGCGTGAGGATCCAGAAGAAGAACACGAAGCCGACGGCGATGTTCGCCTCGGCCCACCACGGCGTCGCGAGCGGCGAGCCGATGTAGCTGCAACGCACAATAGTGTCAGCAAACGTAGAAAAATCACGACGAGGGGGATGGGACGCACGTAATCTGCGCCCAATCAAACGTGATCATCCCCATCGCGAGCCCGTAGTTGACGCCGAACAGCTGGTTCACGACGATGTTGTCCGGCTTGATCCAGCACACCCACGAGAAGAACGAGAGCCCCGTGAAGAGGTACCCCGGCACGAGGTACCACAGCGCGCTCCCCGCAAAGGCGCAGTAGAAGAACTTCTCGCGCGAGAAGCCGCCGCGCGAGCCGACGCCCGCGTATTGCTGCGCGTGCAAAGTGTTGAAGAGGGCGCAGGTGACGAGGTTGTACGGCCAGACTGCGAGTGCGTCAGCGTCAGTGTATGATAATAAGCGCGTGGGCAGGGTGCGGAAGGGAGGAAGAGGGGAAGGAAGGGGGGAGAATACGCACTCATACTCGGCGGCTGGACCAAGAACCGTCTCGCAATACCGCCGATGGAGAACCCGATGAGCTGCGTGGACATGACGACCATCCACTGGTAGCCGAAGGAGTAGGTCTGGTCGTAGTAGACGCGCTGCACCGCGACGATGTCCGTCGCGTACGCGGAGCCCGCGCCTACACTCGCCATGATCTAATGCGAAACAAAACAAGCTGTCAGCTGGGTCCGTCCAACAAAAGCGCACGCAGGGCAGGAGCTCCGCGCGTCGGGAATGGAATGAAAAGAGGGAGCCAACGCACGGTGATGAGGACATGCTCCTTGATGCTGAAGGGGCCGGGGTTGAGGTGGATGCCGAAGAGGGAGACGTTGGGGAGGAGGCGGGCCCAGGCGCGCCCGAGGGGGAAGGTGAGGAGCTGGGCGACGATCTGCGGGGTGGTAGCGTGAGCCGAGAAGAGAGAGACGACAAATGGGAGGAGGGGGGGAGAGCGGCGCGTAAAAAACGACAAGCACGGAAGCGAATAGGACAGAATACACCGCGGGCGAGTAGAATAGAGTAGAATACAACGCGCGCGAGTAGAAGGAAAGGCAACCGCGAATAGAACAAGGGCAGGCGCGCCTCGAGGCCGCGAACGGCGGGAGTGTGTAAAGTCCCAAATGAAAATGAAACGAAAACTCTCCGAAATGAAAGGGAAAAAAAGGAAAGGAAGAGATAGAGAGAAAAAACGCACGCCAGTGACCGTAACCGCCGGGTAGCGGAAGAAGAAGAACTGGTTCAGGCCGGGGATGATAATGGCCCAAATCAAGCCCAGCGTCCATGCGCGCAGCGTCCCCACGGGAATGGTGGGGTCGTCCGTGTTCGCGACCGCCGACCGGACCTCGGGGTACGGGGAGTCGTCCTCGAGGATGCCCGCGATGGCGGCGTCCTTGTCGAGGTTGGGGTCGTCGAACTCGGGGAGAGCGGCGGCCTCGAGGGCCTCGATCTCCTCGGGGCTCATGCCCTTCTCCGCGTTGTCGGCATCGGAGTGCTTGTCGAGCGAGTGCTTGGACTCGTGTGCAAGCGGGGACGCGAGCGCAGACATGGTAAGCGGAAGCAGCAGAGGGAGCGCTTGGGGGGGCCCGAGAGGGAGGAGGGTTC